ATGATAAAAATAAAGAGCTGTTTGAACATTAAAGCTTGTAAACACGTCACAGTAGAGACACTACATACTGATATGAACCTGGAAATTAGCATAATATATCAAAATAACATGCAATATTTTTTCCGAAAGTTTCTACTGCACTTTTCGTGTAAATATGCAGCTGTGTTTTGTAATCATAACCTCACCTGTAACACAGTGGGCACTGTCTCATCCAGGTCGACGTAGTAAGACGGCTGGTTGGTAAAGATGTTCTCTGAAAAAGTGAAAACCAATATCAAAGTAACCAAAGAGTGAACAAATAAAAGCTAGGAGTCTCCACCACATCTATTCATCTAATGGATACATCTCCCATCAAAATACCCTCAAATGATTCAAATGGAACCGTAATAAAAAGTTCACCTATCATCTTGTGCAGCAGCTGGCTGTTGCCCTTCCCAAAGAGCACACACAGATCCAGAAATTTGGGAATGTCAAAAAGGAAGTTCTCGTAGATAATTTCTCCGAACACAGACGGATTGAGGAAGCTCTCCTGAAGAAGAAGGGAGAGTCAGCAAGTGTTACATCTATACAAAAGTGCTGTCTGAAGTGTTTACTAATCAAACTATAACTGGTCTTTTTAGTGATCAATAAATGATTCTTTCTTCACATTTGGTTGCAGCTCCTACCTTGGACTCTTTATGCGTGGCCATCCTGAGGAAGGTCAGGAACACCGCCCTGTGGACGCAGCGCTGCATGTCTGCCACCGCCGGGGAGGAGGGCATGGTGGCCAGGTCCAGGCCACGGGGGGCGTGATGCAGGTATGAGTCTAGGCACTTCTGCAGAGTCTCATCAAACACCACCTGATGGAGGAGAAGGAGCAGAGAAGGGAGGGAAACAACTATTTTAGCTGTCATGACTCAATCTACAGTGTTTTTTTGTTCTGCTGCCATACACTTTTGTGGCTCACAGAGATGACCCCCTAATTTTATGTGGCACGCAAGAGTTTTGCAAAAAATATAATTTCTATCAAACTATTCAGAACAGTGTCCATAAACTACAAGTCCCACAAATTAGGACAGTAATCCAAAAATATCATTTAAAGTTGGAGAGATACAAAAATATGCATAAATAAAAAAATGTTAACTGGTAAAATAAGATATGAATGAACAACAAAAATCAAATAAGCTACATGTATTTTTATTGGCTATGGTAGGTTATTGGTTATGTTCATATACTTATTTGATTATTAAAATGTAAACCGATCTTTTTCATATGGGTGTTTTAGAGTTGTACCCCCTAGGTCTAGTCTCTAGTAATTCTGCTCAAAGTGCTCCAGATTGAAGCATTTTAATTTAAAATGTTCAAAAAAATCTTCCCGGGGGCCATACCCCCGGACCCCACTAGAGGATGTGAAGTCCACCCCCCAATTCAAACATGTTCATACAATAATGAATACATTTGAAGCCATTTTGACATATATTACCTATGTCAATAAGTTTCTGTTTTTGTAGTGTATTGTCTTTAGTAGGGATTTTTTATTTATTCTTTATATATAAAATCTCGCCTAAAATCTCACCTAGGGCAGCAAATTGGCTA